CTAGCACACTTGGCTCTTGGGCTTGCGTTTTGTTCTCCTTCAGGAGGAATCGTCCAGATTTTACCACTCAGGGGACACCAGCAGGTGTTATTCTCAGTGCAGGGGTCTCTGGAATTCCACCCTCATGGGGGCAAATGCTGATGTATAACCAAAGGAACAGGATAAGTACAAGTGAGCGCTGTGGGGGAACTCACACAGTGTGGTGTGTTGCAGTGTGTTCGGGGTCTTGGGGGTCTACCTAATATCTAAGCAGAGACTTGGAAGACAAAGAGGATTGATTATATTCCATCTGTTCAGGGGTCCTGTCTGCTTCGTTTTGTCAAAACGTCCATCATGGGTTGGTCTTTAGCCAGTTTCATCTGTGCTGAATCTTTCTTTACTTGGTCCCTCCAGATCGACTCTCCACCTTTCTCTTTCTAGGTCTCTGCCTCATGCTTTAGAGGCAGCAGGTTCCCCGAGTCCTCTTGGTCTCAGAGGGCTGGAGGCACTGACACAAGGAGGTTGGTGGTGGGGGGCAAGTGTCACCCCTGAGGGCTCTCGGTGGTCTGGTTGCCACCTCCTACGGAGGCCAATCGGTGCTTCTGGGTGGCTCTCTCTAGAGAGCTATCCTCCTTGAGTCCTGGTACTCATTCTCTTCTCTTGTCCCTTTGGGCTTAGGACTCCCCACAGTTGCTCACCCAGGGATCCCGTACCATCCCATGGCAGTGGTACATCTGCCATCACCTCAGCAGACAGATCTTTTCTTCACCCCACTTCCCCACATGCTTCCAACAAGAGCTTTCTTTTTCTTTCCCAGACTCTGACTGAGTCAGTTTCTTTCTCCCATTTAAGCCAGCATTACTTGTGCCTTCTCTCACATGGATTCTCCATTACCCCAAACAGGCCCACCTTCCCACGTTGCCTCTTTGGATCCTTCTCATGCAAATCTCATCTCCTCTGAAACACTTTATTTTTACCAAACAGTGACTTTTCTAAGAATGAGCTCCCTTCCCCTGCCCTATGTCTCAGCCTTGTTCTCTAGTAGTTACCTCTCTGTTGATTGAATTTCCCCAGCTAGACGCTAACCTTTTTTTTTGCAAGGAGAGGGATTGTGTCAAGGTGTTCTTCAGGGCATGACTCATGAGGTGCTGGGAGCATCACTCCCCCTCCAGAGTCTCCCTGGTTGGCTGCACAGTTGCCTTCTGCTAGGGCCAGACTCAGATCACATGCACACTACATGCATAGCATAAGAGATTGTGGATATCAGGGCAAGGCAGGTCTGTAGTTTCTTCCAGGTGTCCTAATGTTAGGGTCTTGCCAAAATGTGGGGATCAGACAGTAATGCTCTTTGTCTATGGCGGATATGTTCCGACACCCCAAGTGGATGCCTGAAACTGCAGATAGTGCCAAATCCCACACACAAATGTATTTTCCTTTATATTCATACCTACGATAAGGTTAATTTATAAATTAGGCACAATAAGAGATTAACAATAATAACTACTAATAAAATAGGACAGTTATAAAAATATACTGCAATACAATTATGTGGTCTCTCTCTTGAAAAAAACAAAACCAATATTAATATTTTTGCACCATGGTTGACCTACCACAGGTGCCTCTAAGCTCAGAAAGTGGAACTCTGAATAAAGGGAAACTACCTGCCCCCACCCCGCATTTCCAAAGTAATTCCGAAGGCCTCATCTGGTTTCCTCCTCAGAATAGTAATTCATAACAAAAGCATAAAACTGTTTAGGAACATGCGTTGCAAACTCTGTCCAAACAGAAAGGAACAATTATTTGAGAGTTCAGGAGGCCCAGATATCCTTGTAATGAAAGTTTTCATATGAATTGGGTAGGAAGTACAACAGCAAATGACAGTAAATAAATGCTTCCAAGAGATCCTAATATCCGGCAGCAGGATCCCAGGTAGGGCTGGCATCTACATTTTTAGGCTCTTTAGAATCCTAGCAGTTATAAATGAAATCAACAGATTTTGTTGCTTCTTTCAACAGGGGAAAAAAAGTTGCTGATTTTTTTAAAAGGCTGCTTGAGAATAATCTATTGAAAAAGCAAGGCTCAAAGGGTTGCCCAGGAGATTGAAATCAAGGGAGAAAAAAAAAGACAGAACACAAAAATCCGACCAGATAATCATGAATACAACTTCCCAATGTGCTTATACACTGAGTTTTAAAAATTAATTGACACAGTTCCCTGTTAATCTTAACTTTTCAGCTTGATTATGGGATTTCTTAGACAACATCCCACTTAATAATAAGGAGCTTTGTAATATTCTGCCCTGTTCTGGTACCTGCTCTGTGCTCAGGATAGCTAAAGCAATGTTGGATTATTTTTTCTGGCCTCTGGCAGGCTGGGTAATTTAAGGCTTCAGTGGAGTGGGACAGGTCACCATGGGTTGAGCTATAAGCTGACTTCAGTGTAATTTCGCTCTGAGTAACATACTGCAAAGTGCTTGGATGGTTTGTTTGTCCATCAAGATTAAAAGTGATCCTTGGATTCTATTTCCATTTATTACAGGAAGGCAATTTGTTAGGTGGTCCTTCCAGTGAGAAGATCTTATTCAGATAACATTCCTAGCTTTAATTCTGAATTTCCTTCTGAGGTGGGGGTTGGGAGGCAGGGCTGATCTGAGACTTTCCTACTAGCACAGCACAGTATCTCTCTTCAGCATACCTCACCTTGCAGCTGTGTTCACACTGTGGCTCTGACCTCCAAAGCCTCCCGTGGACCAACAGAGGTACTTGGCTTGTAAAGGAACAGTGCACAGTAGGAGTGGTGGTCCGTAGCAAAATGGGGCTAATGTCTCAACAATGTAGTGTACTCAGTGGAGAGGTTGGAGCAGTGGAGAAAGATACAAATGATGAGTGCTGGCTGACAGCCGTAAATTACCCAAGAACTGATAGGACTTAACCTCTGGGGCTCCCTAGTGTACTTGGAGCTGGGAGACTTTATGAATCAGCCAAGATCTGTGTTAACTGATGGGGCAGGAGGCAGAGGACCATGGACAGCAAACAGAGTCAGGGAAGTTAGAGTTGGGAGATGACTTGGCTAGTGGGGTTATGTTAAGAACGGGTTTGGACTTTGCATGTTGATCTTGGTGTGACTTGGAAATCAAGTAAAACATTATATTTGGAGATTTATTACTTAATACTTTAAAGAGAAGCTGTTTAAATATGAACCAGTCATTTACACATTAGTATAAATAAAAGTTCTGCAAACAGATTTTGTTAGAAAGGGAAAAATAAATACTGATGGGAAAGTGGTTATTTCTAGGGAGAGAAATTCAGCCAACAGAGGGTGCTCAAAGGCTCCAAAGTCCATCTTGATGAGGAAAGCTCTGGTCCTGCTCTGCTGTTTTACTTTTAGATCTGATCTACACTTAATTTTATCCCCAAGTTTGTGGGGAAGCCAGTCTATCCAAATAAGTATATCCTTTATACTCTTATATTTTACTTTAATTGCAATGTATTATTCTCTTTTTCACATTGTATTTTTATTTGCTTTATTGAGATGTAATTTACATGTCATAGACTTTATTCATGCCAAGCATACAATTCCCTGATTTTTAGTAACTTTACAGAATTTTATAACCATTGCCACAATCCAGTTGTAGAACATTTTCGTCATTCCAACAAGATTCCTCATGCCCACATAGTGTTAATTCTCATTTTAAGCACTATCTTTATTGTGGAAAATGGAAGTTTAAGACATGTTCCAGTTCTTCAGAGAGGTGAGTGTTACAGATGATTATTCTCAAGTTCTGGCATTGGTAAAGTATTAATCTAAATCCCAGATCTTTTACTTAGTACTAGGGAGTTTATTTGATTATTTAATTGCTCATTTGTTCACCTAAAAATGTATGATTAATAATATCTACCTGGCAGGATTGTTTAAATCAGTAGAGATAACATGTGAAGCCTGCTACATAGATGTTCAGTAAAATCATGGAATTATTTTATCACATATATAGATGCTTGCAAACAATAGGAACTTGTTGGATACAGAGATTGAATTCTGAGGTTAATTATTTTATTATTTTGTAACCTACTTAGTGGAATGGGATTGGTTGGAAAACAATTCATTTTATAGTAGACATTGGCTTTAAAAATAAAATGCATTTTAAAAACTTAATTCAAAAAAATATATTGCTCAATTTTTTTTCCTCTTAAAATTACACAGAGATTTTCTTTCCAAAGAATTTTCCAAATGGCCTGCACCCTCCTGGCCTCCCCCAGTTCAATCCTGTGTTTTACAATTTTATCTTGCCTTCTTCTGAAATGGATTTGAAAAAAATAATACCTGACTTCAGGTTTTCAGATCTTGGTAGTGATTTTCTCTTCTGGTATGAAATTTAAGACCAATAAAATGCAGTTGCTATTTCCTGTGGATGTTCTGCTTCTGTGTGTTATGATTTCATATTTATTACCATGAGTTGAGATCACAATAAATGCCTCTATCTCCCTGCTTTATGTTGTAGCCATTCATTTTTGTGGAGAAGTTGAGCTACTGGTTCAGTTCTCATGACCAGGTACCAGGAAAACTAAATGATGTGGCCACTAGGGGGCACTCCTCTCACAAGTCTAAAGGCCCAGGGAAGGGTTACTTCAGCCCTTCTCCTCTTCCTCCTGCCTGAGGGACCTCACAGATGAGTGGCACAGTGGTGCCCAAGCTCTTCCTTAGCCATCCCTACACTGGGACTGCTTCCCAAATGGACAGGGGATGAATAGGAGCTTTCTGCCACTTGGAATTTTGGGGTAGCTCCATGGCTTCTTCTAGGGAAGGTTCTTTTATTTTTGTTTTTCTGAAAACTGCTTTGCCACTAAGGGGAGCTTGCAAAAGAGACTGGTTCTAGAATTTCTTTCTTTAAATAAAGCAAATCAGAATCTCTGATGATGGGGTCCAGAAATCAGCATTCTCATCACATTCTAAATTTTAATGTACCCCCCCCCCCAAAGTTAAAGATCTCAAAACGTGGGCTATTCTTGCAAAACACATCAGCCTTTCTTCTCAAAAACAAATCTCAAACTATAATGAAAGTCTCAGAGGCACTGGAATATTCCCTTCCTGAGACCTCCAAGTTCATATTATCCTCTTGGGGGCAGATAAGACTTCCTTTCTTCCAGCATTCAAGGGTCCCTCAAGGGCTAGCTTGAATTTTAGAAGTGTGATTTAAGAAAAGTAGTGTTGGAATAATCAAACTGATATTGATGAGGAGTTGTAAATAGTTTCTTTAAAAGCAATGGACTTTGTATTTTTTTTCTGTGTATTTTTGTTTCCCTAGGTTTGCTGTAACAAAGTACCACAGATGGAGTAGCGCAAAAATCACAGAAATTATTATTTCTCAATTATGGAGGCTGAAAGACTGAAATCAAGGTGAGAATTGTTTCACACCTGTGTTAGTTCCTGGTGTCTCTAGTAATCTTGGCATTTCTTTGCTTATAAAGTTGCACTGACTCTGATCTTTTCCTCCTTTGACATGTGGCCTCCTTCTCTCTGTGTGTATCTGTTGTCTTCTCTGTTTTAAAAAATATTTTTTAATTGTAGATGGACACAATACCTTTATTTTATTTTATATATTTATTTTTATGTTGTGCTGAGGATTGAATCCAGTGCCTTACACACCCTAGGCAAGCGCTCTACCACTGAGCCACAACCCCAGGACCTGTCTTCTTTTCTCTCTCTCTCTCTCTCTCTCGCTCTTAAATATTTTTGACCCCTAATAGATGCATATAATTTCCTACAACTGATATCTCTTCCTGTGTTAGTCAGATTTTCATTGCTGTGATCAAAATACCTGACAAGAACAACTTAGAGAAGTTTAATTTGGGTTCACAGTTTCAGAGGTTTCAATCCATGGTTGGTTGACTCCATTGCTCTGAACCTAAGACGATGCAGAACATTAAGATAGAAGGGCATGGAGGAGAAGGAAAGTTGCTTTCCTCATGGCACCCGAGAAGGAGAGGGTTGGGAAGGAGAGGGAGGGGAGAGCATATGAGGAACCAGGGACATAATATAATCCCCAAAGGCATGCCCCAGTTACCCACTTCCTCCAGCTGAATACAGTTACCACCCAGTACAGCAGTCCTTTCAAATTATTAGCCCATCTACTGATTAGGTTACAGCTCTTATTATTTACCTCTAAACATTCCTGCCTTATCATATGAGCTTTTGGGGGGATACCTCATACCCAAACCATGACACTTCCTTTTAAGTTTCCAAACTCAATGAGTAGCAAGGAAAAACTAAATTAAGCCCAGTACAGAAAAATCAGTCCAATCCAATAATTTAAAGAGCCTATTCATTTTCTGCAGGCATGACTCAGATAAATGCTCATGCTTTCTTATTTCCTTCCCCTTTTCTTTAGATCTCCACAAAATGATAGCTAGAGTCTCATGGGGTTGAGTTTACATGACTTCATGGTCATACAGGAGGCTGCTGACTCACTCTGTCTTTGGATCCTTGCTGGTCTCTGCTGCAGAATAATAGCTTCTGTCTGTTCTAGCAATTCCAGTGGAATAAAACTGGTCCTATCTGATGTTTTTGGGTTTATACTCTAGCATCATTTTCTGGAGTCCCATGTTAGTTAAAGTTTAGAAATCTCTTTCTCATCACAAAGACTGGCTTTATGGCTCTTGTTTTATTAAAGGAACTCAGAAAATCAGCTCTGAGACTCAAAGTAGATTGATGGCCTTTCTTTTTGTTTCTGGTAGCAGTTGATCTTTCATACTTGAGGAAATAACCCTCATAATTTAGTCCTATCTGTAAGGGAACAAGGTTTAAGGACAAGTAAAACCATGTGGTATATTAGTTAGTTTTTGCTGTGTAACAAGCCATCCCAAAGCTCAGTGGTTTAATTCAGGGATTGGCAAACTATGGCTCACATCAGGTTTTTGTGGTACCCAGAAGATGAGAATAGCTTTACATCTCCAAAGTGTTTAAAAAACGCAAAGGAATATGCAACAGAGGCCATATGTGGCCTAGGAAGCTAAAATACTTAATCTCTGGTCCTTGATACAAAGAGCTGACCCTGGCTTAAAAAAATAAGCATTTATTATTGCCTACAAGCCTAGGAGTTCTTTAGCTCCTGGACTTCTGCATACATCTGGGGCAAGCTGTGGGGCAGGCAGGCATCTCTGCACATGTTGGCTGGTCCTCTTCCCTCGTCCAGCAGTTGGCTAGCTGAGGTTGATTGGATGGCTGTGGCTAGGAGAAAAGTGCCCTCATGTATGAGCTTTCTCCTCTTCCTACAAGTTAGCCCAGCTTGACTTATGGCAAAAGTGGTTTCAAAAGACAAGAAACAGACAAGGCATTTTGAGACCAAAAATCGGACCTGACATGCTTTTACTCCTCCCACTTTCTAATGGATGGAAATCCCAACCTAGATTTGGGGGTAGGGAAAATAGACTTTATCTCTAGATAGGAAGGATTGCAAAGTCCCATGATGAAGAGTGATCCAGGGCATGGTGGAGAACTGAGACCATTTTTGTAATTAATCTACTATACATAGGTTTTTATTTCCAAAATATTACCCCTGTAACTAAAGAAAATAATTTTATTTATCTATAGATATTTTCCCAGATAATTCTTGTGATCTTAAGATCCACCTTTGTAGAAGCAATTTTAACTTGATTTAGAGCATATTAGAAACTTTTATGAATTCTTAACATAGCTTTCAGATTCTAAAATCCTTGGGTTAAGATTTTTAAAATTTCATACTAGGACTGTCTGCTTTTCTGTTTAATAGCATCTTCTCTTCCCATTCTCAGGTTCCCTACTTGAAGTAAAAGAGAGGTTAGTTTTAACTTTAGTTTTATAATAAACAATAGTCATGGTATTCTCTTGTTTCTCCAATCTATAGTTCCTGAAATTCTAGCTGGCAGCTTTTAAATACCCTTTCAAATCACCCCCATGGGGCTACTGTGAGGCACCTCTTCTTATGAGACATTTTTTTTTAAACTTCTAAATTGGTGCCCTCAAGAATCATCTAGAGTTTCATGACAGCCAACTGCAAGTTGAGTTTACCATCAAGTTTCCCTGAATGCAATGTTCAAACTCTGTGACTCATCTTTCTCTTTGTTGGGAACCCCGTAACTTTGTTTGATGCTGTTTTGAGGGAAAACAGAGCACTCCACAAAGATCCAGATGATTGACTCTTGGAGTCTGAAGGCACATCAAACCTTTCCCTGATACACTACACTGTCGTCCTTCAGAGGTGACCAGGAAGCCTTCTTGGCTGTCTCCCAAGTCAAGAAGTTCACTACCTACCGTGAGTTTTGACCACACTAGATTGATACAGACTCTGCATTAACGTATCTCCAAGCAGCTGCTAGAATGGCTCCAAGAAGCTCCAAGAAATATCTAGGTCATAGTCACCACACAATTTTTATAGCATAATTCAGGGGGCAGCAACTAGTTGGAAAAATTAGAACACTGAGCAAAACTGGGGGCCTGCCTAGGGGAATGGTGGTTCCTGCTCTGTTGGAGAAATGCTGTGTATTTGGGGCATTCCTTCCAAATTCTAGTTGTAAAAGTCAAGCCTTTACTGAAAGCTCTAAAAAGGAGGCCTGGGATAGAAATTCCTCAGTGGTTTCCCTAAAGGGCTTGTGGCTACTGGAGGGAACGGGTGTGTGCTGAGGACAGACACCTGTGTTTGTTTAGCTCCCTGGCGTGTGAGGTGGGAAGGGAAAGCTGTGGCTTGGGAGAGGAAGATTTGTTTACTGGAAAGAGGCTTGAGTGTATGGGGTAGGCCACCCCAAATTGTGTGGGGCCTGGTAAGTTTGAAAAGTCATTTTCAAGGTTGTCAGGTGTGATAGAAATTGAAGATTACCTACCCAATTACCCAATGTCCAATTTCCCCCTTTTCCTTACCAATAGAACCTGTTTTGTTTGAGACAGCTCTGGACTTCAGAAGACCATTCTCCCTGATTCCTTTGTAGCTATGATGGCCCAGTGATCTGGCCAAGCCTGATGAGATGTGAGAGGATGCCTACAGAGAAATTGGGAAAAAACTTTTGTGTCCCCTTTATGAGTTCTGTCCCTTTTTCCTTTCCCTTCCTTCTTCTTGTGGCCTGTTCTCCCGACGTGAGGGCATAAGGAGCTCTGTATCTTTGGGACAACCACAACAACAGGCACAGGCAGAATTCTACCCACTCAGGATTCTCTCCTGGGCAGCTGCACCAGCTCAGGAATGCATTCTTGGGCATCTTCTGTGAGTCCCTGTGTATTTAAGCAAATATTGGTTACGTTTTCTGTTTCTTTCATCCCATCACAGTTTTTAGTGACACAGAATATACACTATACAACACAGCTTCTTGAATAATCTTCCTTAACATGATACCTAAGAACCAAGGTTTGAGATCAAGCCTGGATGACCCCAGAGACCATCTTTTCATAGTATTGTTCTGTAGAAACTGCACAATAAAAGACAATTGAGGAATTTTGTGTTTGTGAACTCTCTGACCTGGAAGACTTTGCCTGGCTGGGGGAACTGTGAGTTGGCATGCAGGGCCTGGGCCCGCAGGGCGAGGGTGGAATTTAAGATTGGTGGCAAACCACAGTGCTCTGTGCTATTAATTGTTCAGGTGACCCCCCCCCCCCACCTTGTGCTTTGACTCTCACCTATGGCAGCTGAGCATGCCCCATGTGGGTCAAGGGAGCTGTGAGCTCAGGTGCTGCTGAGCCTCTTGCGGGACTGGGTATATTAACAGGCCTGCAGTCTTCCATATTAGAAGGTCAACACTTCTGGGTTATAGCTGATTTGTGTTTTGTGAGTGTGATTGACACATAACCACTGCAATAGAAGACTAAGACCCAAAAGGTTTTTTATTAATCTCTTATTAATCTTAATCTTAGCAACATATTATTTCTCATTTACAATGACATTTTTCTTAATCTTATATGTGGTCTCTTTGTATTGCCGCAAAATATGTATAATATATATGTATTATATGTATATATGCATAATATATACTTATTTATCACATATATGTATAATATATACACATTTATATTTTATAAGTTTAAATGTCAATAATGTCAATAAGTATGGCTAAAAAGTTTTTCTTGTCAATGGCCAGTTGCCTTCAGTAGGAATCTGTGTTCAACTTCCAGGAAGAGTTGATGTGAGCTCATGGGGTGAGGGGCCCTTCCACTATAGCAGGCAGGGAGGGAGCACAAGAAATGAAAAGAGCATGGGCTTCGAAACTGGGGAGACCTAGATGAAATTCAGATACTACTGCTAGAGCTGTGAGCTCTCAAGGAGGTTTTATACCTTCCTGAGCCCCACTTGCCTTATTTGTACATTAGGCATAAGTATATGATGTCAGGCATAAACTGGGCAAGTTTGTGCACACCTGTAATCCCAGTGACTTGGAAGACAGAGGCAGGAGAATCATAAATTCAAGGCCAGCCTCAGCAAATTAGTGAGGGTCCTTTCTCAAAGTAAAAAATAAAAAGGGCTGGAGATATAACTCAATGGTAGGGTAACCCTGGATCTAGTCCCCAGTAACACCAAATAAATAAAAAAAAATAAGATAAAAATAATTTCAGGCCTGGTGCTAATTCAGGATCCCTCAGTGTAAGTTTTCTCCTTTGAGTCAGTAATAATAATAAAATGGTAGTAGAACTAAGAGTAACAGCAATAAAAACCGCCACCCATATCATGCCTTCTTGCTCACACTACAGTGGGTCTGAGTACATGGACTCTTGAGTCAGAAGTCCTGGGTTCAAATTCTTGTTCTGCCCCTTGAGAGCTCAGGGATTTGGGGTAAGAGATTTAACTTCTTCATGGCTCATTTGCTTCATTTGTAAAGTGGGGGTAGTAATCCTTATACTTCACAGAGTTGTTGCAGAAGCTACAGTAGATGACAGTGAATGGTAGGCACAAGGACTGGCATGTATTCAGGGCTCAATACGTGATAAGTAAAAAAGGATGGTGACAGGGCTCAGATTTTGCCCCTTGGTTGGTAGCACCCGTACAACAGGTGGCCTGGAGCCAGGCCTCTGACCTCAAGCTTATTCTGTGCCAGCACTGTGCTTAGCACTGGGGATGGAAAGAGTGAGTAAGACTTGGCTTCCATTTTTTATTTCAAGTTCAGTGTCTGTGATGGATGTTCAGGAAATGAGAAACATTAAGGTAGGTCCCCAGTCCTTTAATACCACCAACTGTTTTGAGTTTCTCTGACCCTAAGGATAGGGAAGATGCCCCTGAATCTGAGTAGGTGGCTGCTTGTGACAAGGTGGTCATAGCCAGAGCAGATCTCTCGGGTTCTGTTTTATGCTGATTTCCCATCTTTGCTGCATCCAGTGTGCTCTTGTGAGGTTCTGTCCCCCACAGATTTATGTAACTTATCACCACAGTCACGTCTGTGTGTTTTGTTGATGCCATTTAAATTCTGTTACTATTTAATACCAAGAACATCTAAAAAGAACATTTTGAGGGACTTGAAAAATCCAATTGTTCTCTTGGTAATTTGATTGTAGGAAACAGGAGAAGATAGTACTCTGAATAGAGTGCTTTTAAATGAATCATCATTGCTTTCTTGTACAGGCAATAGATGGACTCAAATTGGGAGCCCTGCTAAAATCTGTCATTAGGTGGAAGATGTAGTCTATGTGGTAGGGAAAGTTCAGCACTGTGTGGCAGAAAATCCAAAATAATAATGGCTTAAACAAGATGGATACTTGATTTGTTTCTCATGAAAAAGAAATGTGGAGGAGACCGTTCATAGTTGGCAGGTGGCTTCTTGGAATTCCCAGGGAGCTCTCCATCTCCCTGTTCTGCCATCTGTAGAACCTGGCCTTCTCCTTATGGACCAAGAGCTGCCCAGACTCCAGCAGTCATGTCTGTATTCCACCCACAAGGAGAGAGCAGAATAAAAAGTGAGAGCATTTTTCTTTAACGCATTCCCCAGGAGTCCCATATTACACTTTTGCTTGTATGTTATTGGTCAATGCTTAGTAACATGGCCACCACTAGCTGTAAGAAAGGCTGGAAAATTTATTCTTTATTCCAGGAACCTAGGTACTAAGCCAAAATAGGGTTCTGTAATAGGGAAAGAGGGGAGAATACATTCTTACCCAGAAGACTTAGCAACACATTTTTTTTGAGACTCAGTCACATCCTTATCTGCTAGTAGAAGGTCTTTTGGGGGGGCTTAGTTCAGGGACCCACAGCAGGAAAATCCTTACCGTGGGTGGGGCTGCATAAATAAGGTACATGGGACTTGGAAATAAAAAAGCTAGAAAATTGCAAAGTGGGGTTAAAGACAGAGTTGGACAATTCCTGGAATCATCTAGGGCTGTAAATCAGCTTCCTTATTCAAGATATGAAGTTACTGAGGGCCAGATGAGTAGTTGACCTCCAGTGTCAGGGGCTGCCAAATCTGTTCGGGTTTGATGATTTGCTAGAAAGTTCACAGAACTCAGAAAAAAGTGTTATATTCACAGTTCCAACTTATAGTGAAAGGGTATAGATTAAAATCACAAAAGAAAGGGGCTCAAATGACAGAGTCCGGAAGAATCCAGGTATGAGATTTTTATTGTTCTCTCCTGGTATAGTCCACGAATAGTGCTGGATTCCCCCAGTTGCATTGTGTGTGACAGCACATGTGAAGTTTTCCTAATCAGGAAAACTCACCTGGACCTTGGTGTCTAGGACTTTCGTGGGGCATGTCCAGGACCTGCATGACATCCTGCCCCCCAGAGGTCAGACTGATGTGGTGTGGCCTAAAAGGTCCATCATAAATCACACTGTTGGCATAAATAGTCTAGTGTGGCACAAGGTCCAGGTACACAGAGATACTTTTGCCAATGAGAGTATTCAAGGGCTTAGAGGTTATCTCCCAGGAGACGGTTAAAAGCCAATTCAGGAGATATTTAGAAGGTGCAGGGTTTGGAAAGCTCAGCTTTGCTGAGTCAATCTTTCACTGCATCTTTGCCCAAAGCCACCCACCTGTGGCAGAGCCAGGTCCAGATTGTTCATCACCTTATAAGTCATCAAGGGCAATAGTCTTGAGTTGACTTGCCCATAGCAGAGATAGATCTAGAATACTCATCCTGACCTCCATCCAGAACAAGAATTGATTTAAAGCGTGATTTGGAACACTCACAAGTGTGTTCAGATGGGCTCTTAGTGGCTGTAAAACTTTAAAAGATTGCATAACTTCTTGGTAGCTCAGGTTTCTCATCTGTAACTATGAAGAAGGTGACATTGTTACCTATTCACAGTGTTGTTCTGAGGGTTACATAGCATGAACATAATGCTCCTTGTGATGATTCATTATACCTGCTCAATTAATGAAAACTATTATTGTTAACACCATTAAAAGCCAAGGCAGCATCTCCTTTTGAAGATCAGAGAGCTGCACAGGAAATTCTGGGTTCCTTTGTATCAATGAAAACTGAAATCTTAACTATAGTTGACATTGCCCATATTGTAAAATTTCCTCAACCATTTACTTTATCCTGTTTTCAGTAAGGTAAAGCTGCCCCCATATAATTTTATTTTCATCTGTGTGTGTGTTCTCTGATCCTTTCTCATTTCTAGAATCATCTTAGATAAACCATTCCTCTGAGGTGATTGTCTGCAATGCTCCAACATCCTCTATGTTTCTCCACAGAAAGATTTGACTTCCCAATTAGTTTTTTTTGCTCATTCAAATTCAGTCCAAAGCAGGAGCAAAAGATCTTCTTACCTTATTTGTCACTATCAACCTGTGTATTTTTGGAAAAGTCATTTGACCTCTCTGGGCTTCAATTTCCTCATCTCTAAATTGAGGGGCAAGGGAGACATAGCTGTTGAGATTCCTTCTACCTTGATGCTCAGATACTGAATGTGAATCTGTGTTTTGGGTCATTTCGTCATCAGGATTAGACATCCATTGTGTGTGTGTGTGTGTGTTCCTGTGCATGGGATGGGCTGGGAATAGCTTGAAGATGGAGAAGCAGCAGGGATTCAGCTAATTCTGTATTTTTTCTCCCCCTACCCTGCAGATTTTATGTTGCTGAGCAATCCTGAATCACAAACCTGTCAAAGAGGAAGCTGTTTGTGTTTGGGGTAAGAAACCCTCAGCTTCCGCTCTGCCCACTCTCACCACGCTGTAAATGCCAACACATTTGGGAGGACTGGAGGAAAGAATCTCTAATATTTTAGAAGCTTTGGAGTTGCTTTGGGACAGGATCCTTAGATTGTTCTCTATCCATTCATCTACCTCAGTTTTAACCAGGGGCGAGGGCTTTGGACCTACAAAGCTGGGTGATGTTTAAGAAGAGGACCTCAGGAAGGAAGGACTTCACCCTGTTGAAGTCCAAGGCAGGATTCCTTCCTTCAGGATCCCTTCCCTTCTTCCTCCCTCCCTCCCAAGGCTGTTCTTTTCAGAATCCTATCTCTCTCACCTCTGCTGACTTCCTGATACTTCTGGTCCTGAAACTTCTAGAGGAAGTGTCACACCAGCACTACTAAGCAGGCAAAAAAAGCTGGTCTGTGTGCCTCAGCCACTCCAATCTGCACTGCAAAGCAGGCATTTTTGTTCAAGCTTCTTTTTAAAGCGATTTAAAAAAGGAAACAGACACTCCCGTGAAGCCTGAATAGCACCATTTCTATCAGGTTTGTCATGACATGGGCTGACATGAGAGCAGCCCCATAACAGGGCTGACAGTTTGATGGGTTTAATTTCAGTGCAGATTTCTGCAAAGAGGCAGCTGCCAGGGGCCTGCCACTGGTGGCTGGGGAGGAAGATGGGGCCACAAGCTTTTTTGGGGAGGAAGGGTTGTCCAATGATGCAGCTGATCACAGCAACAGCAACCCTCCTGTGCCCACTGTTGCTGATCTCAATCTCTTAACGGACTTAGCATCCACCCTGCTCAACTAGTCCCTCTCTGGTGGGGGGGGGGGCAATATTTGGTCTCTGTGTGAAAAATGAAAGCAGAGATCAAACAAATGGTCTTGAGATGAGGAAGCTAATCAAGGTGGTAGAGGAGCCCACAACTTCTGTTGTGGATCCTGGATACACATCACTCTGTGAAAAAGGGAGAGGTGGATGTATTTTGCATCATCTCCCCTTCCACTGCTCACCCCACTTGGCATCCTGATGGGAGGCCTCATTGTATACAACGGAGAAGTTATTCCTGAGGGAAGTCACATATGTAAACAAGGCAGGATTCCTTCCTTCAGGTTCAGTACTTCTGTTCACCTGTATCCTCCCCACAACGGCCTAACTTACAAGAGATATGTTCTCCTGACATTCCATAGCCCTTTTCTCTTTCACACACTGGCTTCTTAGTTTATTTCTTCTGAGTCTTGTGGATTGGGAGGCCTGTGAACACGCATCATTTATTCATTCCACCAGCATTAATTGGTTAACCATGTGATACATGTTGGAGCTACAAAGCTGAATTATTCATGCTTCCTGCCCTTCAAAATTGGAACTTCTGGTAGGGAGAACTAACACCCAAAGAGGTAATCTTTGGAAAAGAAATTTAAAGACCATCTTGTGATGCCATTTTACATAACCAAGAATGGTCACATTTAAAAAGTCTAAACGTATTAAGTGTTGTTGTGGGTTTAAACCAAGCAGATCTCTTACACACCCCTGGTAAGGGCAAAATAATGTAAGTACAGTCATGTGTCACTTAATTATGGAGATTTGTTCTGAGACATGCATTGTCAGGTAATTTCATCATTGTGTCAACTTCATGGAGTGTGCTTTTACTAAACTAATAGAGGGATATTGTCACTAGGAAATATAGAATTTCCATCATGTTATGTGCCCAATTTTTGACTGAAACACTGTTACATGGTTCATGACTGTTCATAGAAAATAATTTTGCTTTATTTAATATGGATATCACTAGCAAACTGTAGAACAAAAAGCAAGTCACAGAATAATATGTGGATAATTTTGCATTGTCAGGGGTTGTATATAAAGGAAAGAATATAATATTTCCTCTTTCCTCATCTGGCTTCTTTCATTCATCATTAGTATTTTGAGAATTACTCACATTACAGCATATATTAATAGTCTATTCCTTTTTATTGTTCAGTAGTATTCCACTATATAGATATACCACAATTTGTTTATCCATTCACTTTTTGATGGATATATAGCTTTTTTTTCTATTACAAATGAAGATGCTATGAACATTTATATTCAATGAGGTGCATGAATTTTTATTTCCATTTATCTTGGGTAAATGCTTATGAATAGAATGGCTGGATCCTACTTTTTAATGCTACTAATATTTTACTTACTTATTTGCTTTCATTTTAACAAATATAAAATATTTAAAGGTGCTTTTGTTCACTTGGACCCTAAGATCCTAGATTCATCCACTGGCAATTATCTCACCAACGTGGTTTTTCAGAAAATTAATGTTCAAGTAAGAGAGAGGATGTAGCACATAATGAATTAAGTACTTTAAACTTTTGTCAACTGACCTGAGTGGATCCTATGTTTATCTTTTTAGGACGCTTCTTAACTTTCCCAGAATGATTTACTATTTTAATATTCCTACCAGCAGTGTATGAGCATTCTGGTTCTTCCCCATCCTCCTTGATACTTGGAATGGTCTATTTTTGTGTTAGTCATTGTAATAGGTGTGTTGGGGTGTTAATTATGGTTTTGACTTGCATTTCCCTAACGTCTATGAATTTTGAGCATCTTTTCTGTATATTGTTGTTGAGAAAGCATTTGTTCAAGTCTTTGCTATTGGCTTTTGAGAGTTATATCTATATTCTGGATTTTTACATACTCTGATGTATAAATATTTTCTCCCAATAGTCTCATTCTATTAACAATGTTTTTCAAGGAGCAGAAGTTTAAAATTATGACAGTGACCAATTTGTCAATTTGTTCTTTTATGTAGTTTTGAGATCTCACTTAAGAAAACTTTTCCTGAGTTAACACCACAAACTTTTTTCCTAGAAGGTTTATAGCTATAAGTTTTACGGTTAGGTCTACAATCCATTTTAAACTAATTTTTAAATAAAGTGTGAGTTTTGGATTGAGGCGTGTTATACCTCAATCTATACCTCCTAGATTTACCCACTAGTTTTAGCACAATTTGTCAAAGAGGCCATCCTTTTTCTATCTTTGCAATTATCCTGAAAATTTCTTGTCTGTATATGTTGGTTTGTGGTCTCTCTATTTTTTTCTGCTAATCTCTATTTTTATGCCAATAACTCACTATTTTGACATCTGGAGCTGTACGAAGTCTTGGAATCATCCTTCTGACTTGGTTTTTCTTTTCTAACTTGTTTGGGCTAGTCTAGGTGCTTTGCATTTCCCATGAATTTTAAGTTTTAATTGCTTGGGAATTGAGTAAATGTCAAAGATGTTTCATAGTGGCCTTATTACTCTAATTAGTTAATGAGAGGGGAGATGGCATGAAGCTGCTGTGAACACAGAGATATTTCCAGCATGAATTAGGAAAGGTGACCTGTGGCAAACTGATGACATCAATCAGAGGGGGCCAGGTCTATGCCCAGCTTGGGCTGACAGTGACATTGTGGTGCTCATCTATGACACACTGAGATGTTGCCATATATCCTGTGACCTAGGCACTGAATAGCACCTGGTCCTGAATATTGTCCTCAACACTTTCTCTGCTGGTCTCTTTGATAATGTAATTGTGTCAATACACTGAGAGTCAGAGCCAGAAAAGGAATCCCCAACCTACACCTCCAGATTTCAGATAGCTTCTTCATTGCTGTATTTCATGCAAGAACACCATAAAATGTGTTCTTGCATGAACACAAAATGAAGTGGTAAGCAAACTGTCTTCTAGTTGGGTGACACTTGTATTCACTATAATCAAGCCTGATAGTTTTTCCCTTGGAGAAAGCAACGCCAATAAACACAATCAGGACACAGGAGAATAAAAATGGGGTTAGTGTTTGTACAAATAAGGAGAGCAGTGGGGATGACTCCCAAAGCAGTGTCTTCCTGAACACGTGAGGTAAGAGTATTTTATTGGGAAGACCCATGCATATTTGTTTATCAAAGACTCCTGATCACATGTAGAGATGAGCACATTCTTGAGCATGCTCACTTGAGACCATAGATGGGAGCACTCCCTCCATCCTGCCCCTTTGTAGAGAAGTTAGCATTGAAAGTGACTTGGTAATTTGGCCCCTCTCTGATACCATCAGATTGCCACAGTTCCTCTTGCCTACTTTGTGCTGGAAATATTTCTGTGTCCACCATCATTCCATCTTCCTTCTCATCAACTAATCAATATAAAAAGGCCAATATGAAAAAATCTTTGACATTTACTAAATTCCCAAGCAATTAAAATCCAAAGTTCATATGGAAATGCAAAGTATTTAGACTAGCCCAAACAAGTTAGAAAAAGACAACCAAGTCAACTGATTCCTTGAGTTTTCTTCTGGGGGGCCTTATCTGAAACAAACAAACAAACAAACAAGTTGAAGGTGTTAGCAGTCATTGAAAGAGACAGCAGATTCTTCCCCTGCAAGCAGATGCTTGCCCCTGAAAGGTCGTGCCTGGATAGAATATCTGCTTCAGCCAGTATCCTTAGAAAGCTTGATGCAGGCTCAGGTTCCCTTCTTTCCCCAAAGTGCCCACACCAGAGAGCTCAGGGAAGCAGATGTGGAGGACATGAATCATCTTTTGGTTGTCTCACATGCAAATTCCCTCTTGTCTGAGTACTCTGTTCTCCTGTTGGAACAATCTGCTATCACGTGTCATTTTGGTGGATTGGCAATTCCTGGTGACAGTCAGCTCCTATTGCCTACCATCAAGGATAGTTGATGGAGGCCAGATTCTTTCTCTATTACATGTCTTAATCTTGGCCTGGAGGACACAGGCTCTTGGGACATTGAACCTGGAGCAAATGAAGCCAAGATAGAGGGAAGAATGGAGGTGAGGGTCAGAGCAGTGACAGAGACTGGAGCAGGCCAGTTTGCCTTGCAAGGTGACATTTTGGCATCACTTATGCTACATGTGCTACAGAGAGGATGCCTGGTAGAAGTTAAATGAATCAGTGTATGGAAAATAACACTGTCAGAGATCCCTTTTCTCCTACACAAAAATCTTATCTAGAATCACAGAGTTGTCAAACTGAAACAGAGTTTGCCTTTCCTTTCTTATCTAACTCAATCTTTTCATTTTGCTGATAAGTACATAGAGACCCAGGAAGTCTGAGGGACTTGACCAAAATTGCCTTCCACCCACACTCCTCATATACACCTAGGCAGAGCTGGGATCTAAGTATTCTGATACCCAGTCCATTTTTCTTTCAGCTACTCTCTCTCACGCTTATACAATTAGATGTTTGCCTAGACATAAACATATTGATAACAGAACTTTTGAAAATGTTGACACGCAACTATAAAATTTCAAAAGCTGCCTCTTATTCTGCCTTTTTGATCCTATTCACAAGCCCTGTGTGACCATCAGCCTGTTTAACAACTAATGCAAAGCCTTATTCAAACAGGTTACATTCACAGAAGCAAATCCCCTTCCAGTGTGCACTTCCTATAAAACTCACACATAGTCGTGTGCCTTGCAGCCTGTTTTTCTTTCTCCCTTTCTTTTTTTGTTCTCATCGTCATTAATTCTATCATCAAAACTTCACTCTGGCTGTACAAAATTCACCCAAGTTATTACATCTTTCTAGTCTTTTCTGTGTTTTCTGGAAAGAGGAAAGAATAACACTTATCAACCTCAATGAACTTGATTGAAGGTGAGATAAAATCCTGTACACAAGCTGTTGTGTAAATTTTAATTCATTGTAATCATTAATAAACATTATATTAGTATTAATTACCAAAAAGAAAACAGTGACGGTAGAGGGCGGCCTTGACCCTTGACACCAACCCAAATTGAGAGAAAGTATTAATAGAACTATGAAGGATTATATTCAGAATGTTTTTTTTTGTTTTTGTTTCTATTTTTTAGGAAACTAAAGGTTTTCAGGATTCCTATTACTTTCTTCATTGATCTGACCAGAATTTGCCTTATATTGACTTTCCTATCACTGGGTTGGCCTCTTAGAAAAGGGCCAGTATCTCATCTCTTTGGATGGATGCAGGATGATCTTTTCTAGAAACTAGGACACAAATGCAGTCATGTGTTATGTAATGACAGGGATGCGTTTTGAGAAATGCATTGTTAGGTGATTTTATTGATGTGTGAACATCATAGAGTGTACTTTTACATCCTAGCCTGTGGTCTCCTTATGTCATCAAGAGACCCAGTAAACACAAGAGAGACGAGGCTGCTGCCAGTGTAACATAGCATATTTTTATAGCAAATGCTTTTTTTTTTATAAGTAGGAGTTTATTCCAACACAGTTAAAAAAGTATAGATAGTAAATACATAAACTAGTCATATAGTTATTATCATTGTCAAGCATTAGGTACTGTGCATAACTGTATTCTATATTTTATACGACTGACAGCACAATTGGTGTGTTTACACTAACATCACAACAGACAGGTGAGTCACATGTTGTGCTATGATGGTATGATGCTGCAACATCATTAGATGATAGAAATTTTTTAGCTCTGTTATACTCTTCTGGGATCACTGTTTATACACGCAGTCCATCGTTAAGTGAAAGGCTGCAAGGCATGTGACTGTGTGGGTTTTCTAGGAAGTGTGCACTGAAAGGGGATCTGCTTCTGTGAATGTAGCCTGTTTGAATAAGGCTTTACAGTTGTTGTTAAACAAATAGGCTGATGGTCAATGTCTGAGCTTATTATCAGGCAAATTGAGAAGCTTCAGATATGTCCATGCCTGTGTTTACCTGAGGGCAGTATAAGTCTTAAATAAATAAATTGTATTTTGTTAAGGCTCCAAGCGGTTTGTAGCCTTGTCATTGAGTCTGTCATTGATTAGGGAAAGTAAAATCTCAGTTGTTAAAAACGGACTCAGAATCTTTACCTTCAGTTTTAATTTGGGTCCTGCCAAAAGGACCCTCTGAGACAAGGAAAAGGGTTCAATTGGTTTACTTGGGAGGTGGAATGAGGGAAAGGGCGACTGGAAAGAAGGAAGGGACAAGTAATGCGTGATCTTGAACAGGTCACCGCAGAGAGGTTCAGTCCTGTTGGGTCCTTTGAGAAAAGGTGTCATGCGCCCTCAGTCCTGTTGGGTCCTTTGAGAAAAGGTGTTATATGCCCTCAGGTTCAGCACACTGTTTGGTAAGAAGATGCAGCACCAACCCTCAGCTCTTGCCTTTCATCACTTGAGGGCTGCTCCTGAGGTGACAACTCCCTGGCACTTCTGTCTGCAGGTGAGTCTGAGATTGGCCAAGCCCAGTGGGTGGGGAACCAATGGCATATGTTACACTACGGAAATGTATTCCAGCTCTTTGGAGAAAATAGGATCCTTCATATAGCACTTTACAGTTCTCCCCTCTTTAAACATCACCATGACAACCACCACAAAATAGAACACCTAAAGTTAGGAATAATTTAAAATTTTGGGAAATGTGGACTATAGGAGAGATTTACATTTCCATTTGCTAAAACTTTACAGAAAAAAAATTCAATACTGAAGTCAATTCTCTAGATCTTTATTGTCCATAGTGTGCTGTTAGAATTTCTTTTTTTCTCTCTCTCTCTCTCTCTCAGCATTATGAATAATTACAGAACAATATTAAACTGAAGAGGTTGACATTGATACAATGCAACTGTACCTGGATTCTACCAGTTAAACACATACTCATTGTATTTAGTTCTGTGTAATTTTATCACTGTGTGGATTTGTGTGACCATCACTATAGTGAAGATGCAGGACAGTTCCATTGCAAGGTTCCCTTGTGCTACCCTTTTATAAGCTGCAGCCACTTCCTCCCCCTACCCAACACTGGAAATCATTAATATGTTGTTGGTTATAATTTTGTCATTTCAGGAATATGGGGTAAATGGAATAATACAAATCCAAACTTTTGAGATTTAAAAATTTTTTTTTCCTATTCTCCTTAACCCTTTGCAATCCATTCAAGTTGTGTGAGTCAATATTTTGTTCCATTTTGGTTGTTGAGTAGTATTTCATGGTTTGGATGTATTAAAGTTTGTCTAGTCATTCACTCATTAAATGAATTATACCTGGTTCCTGTTTTGGGTTATTATGAGTAAACCTATGAATACTTGTGTAGAGGCTTTGTGTGGACATATGTTTCCATTTCTCTGGCATAAATGCCCAAGAGTGTTATTGCTATGTCATTTGCTTAATTTGAAGAGAAATTGTCACTCAGAGTAGATGACCCATCGTATGTGTCCACTAGTAATGATCCAGTTTCTCCACACCTTCTCCAGTGTTTTGAAATAGTATTGCTCTCTCTCTCTCTCTCTTTTTCATATCAGAGCCTCAGGGAGATTGTTTTGGCTTTGGTTTGAGGAAAATGTTGTGCTTGCAAATTTCTGGGACAACCTAAATATCTCTTATAAATCTTGTTCTTCTTTTTTCTGACTGCCTCTCTTTTTACCTTAAAATAATGTATCTGATAAATTGCAATAGATCAAAGCATTACAAACAACTATCTTCTGTTGGATTAAAAAGCAAAAGGCCAATCCTTAATCTGCAGAGGTGAATAAATGATTCCCACGTGACCTGCCTCAGTGCAGGAAGATGGAATAGGGAAATGAAGAGTGGACAGAATCATAGGAGAATGACCCACAGGGTCCATTATTCATAAAATGTAATGAATATCATAACACTTTAGGCTAAATGCCTTCAGTATACACAGTTTTGAAAAGAAATATACTTGTGGAGACACTGGACTATGACCTACTTTAAGAGATTTGTTCTAATAACATAATTTGGGTTGGGAAGAATGTAACCTACCATTGGTTTAGATGTCATTTAGAAATGATGCTATCTATGGTGTTTTGGGAGATGATGTAATGGATGCCCGAGGCAATTAAACTGCTTGTTTAAAGCCACACAGGGAGCTGACTGCAAAGAAGAAGTAGAGCCCATGCACAGTACAGTCCAGACATATGAAAGGAGATTTTTTAGCTTGACCTATGTCTGATATTTTCATGTCGTACTGTGCCGCACCCTGCTTTGCATGTCATCTTGTCACAAGCTGGAAGGTCCTGCATGGTTCTATTTTGCTGCCTATTTTATTACTCTATAGACTGGACATGGAGGGTGGGTGAGGCATTCCTCTGCAGAATGAGAGTATGACCTGTTTGCAAATGTTGTCTTGTGTTCAGGCTGGTCCAAAGGCTCAGAAGTCCAAGAGGAGCTGGAGCTGGTCATGGGGGGCGGGTGGGGGGGTGGAAGCCAGATTAACTAGAGCAGGTTTTAAAATAGAAGACTTAAAGTGATTCAATGTTAATTGAATATTGAGTAAGAAAGAGGTAGGGAGTTAATTGAATGAGTGAGCTTGGGGTTTCGAATAATTTTTTCATGATGTGAAGGAAATTATTACAGTGTTGGATGCAGATCAGGGGAGAGAGAGAGGCAGCAGGAACTTTGAAAGCAGTCAATGAAAGCCATTTAGTTTGGTGGAAGAAACCTGAGCCTGTTGGTCTGTTTGTTTTTCCTCTAAGCTGGTTAAAAAGCTATTTTTAAAAACCCAGAAATTGCTATAAAATGTTACATGTTATCTAAAGAAAATTTAGAAACTATGGACAAGAAAAAGAAGAAAATGAATAGATCCCCTTATAGATACTACTGATATTTTAGCTTACATCTTTTTAGTCTTTTCCTGAGTATATACGTCATCATACCCCCTCGACCCCCACCCCACACAAAATCCCTGACTCAGTTTGGCTTGACTTACTATTTTTTGATTTTATGGTGGTACAAGAGTGAATCATTCAGCAGAAACTCTGCTTTGAATTTCAATCTTTTCCAAAGCTAGTGATATGCAGCCCAATACTCCCTTGTAATACAGGGCAGTGTCAGAGAGCCAAAGCTCCCAGCCAGGCATCCCACTACCAGGGGAAACAACCAACGCTGTACAGTGTGCTGTGTTGCTAAACTTTGATGGTTGATGGGGTAGGTGTAGAATGCATTTTCAATATTTTTTTATTTATGCAATATTTTTAATTTATGCTGGGTTTATCATTATGTAACCCCATCATAAGTCAAGGAGCAGTCATATATACATATATGATATATATCATATTTATCAATCCAGGAGCAATCATCTATACATATATGATATATATAATATTTATCAATCCATAATATTTACATACAGAATCATATAGTTTTATAACCAACCTTAAATCTTAACACTCCATGAATGTTTCCCATATAATTTTAAATTTCCTACTATCCTGTTGTATAGATGTCTGTTAGTTGATTTATCTAATATTATTTCCCTCTTATTTCCTGTGATGATGTTACTATTTTATTTTTGTTATTATCCACAATTATTTCATTAGGTTAAATTTGGAATTCCAATAGCAAATGAAAGATAAATTTTTTAGCCTTTTGGTATCTAGTGCCAAATGCTTAGTTGTCATTCCCACCCAGAGTTGATAGAGTTTCCCATGTTCTTTCCAGCAACAGGTTCCATTATTATTTTTTAATTGCCAATTTGATAAGTGAAAATGTTATCTGTATTAAAATTTTTAATTTATTTGATTATTAAGGACATTATACTTAACAAAAAGTTTATTGCCTATTTGAAATTCTGCCCTTAATAAGTGAAAAAGTTATCTGTATTTAAAATTTTCATTTATTTGATTATTAAGGACATTATACTTAAAAAACGATTTGTTTGAATTTCTGCCCTTGTGAATTGCCTGATCTTGTTCTTTGACTTTTTTTTTTCCTATGGAATGTTCACCTTCTCATTGATTTTTGCTTTTTGGAGTGCTGGAGTTAGAACCTGGTACTTTGCACATGCTAGGCAAGTGCTCTCCCCCTGAGCTACCTCCCCATCTCTTTTTATTGATTTTTAGTTGCTTTTAGTTGCCTTAAATATAATCAACTTTTGTTTGTTTTCTGTGTTGACAGTTTTTTTCTCTGTTGGTTATAGGCTTTCAATTTTATGTACTTTTCTATGCTAGTAATTATTGTTGCTATTACTATTTTTTCTTTTACTTGTTTGCTTTTAGTTTTTAGGTAGTCAGATGTATCACTGCTGAGATTTCTGTCACTGGTGTCATACTTAGAAAGACAATTTCCATTCTTTGATTATATAACCACTTATCCACATTTTTTTCTAGTTTTTTTTAAAAAATCTATTCATTTAAATTTGCAATTCATTTTGGTGAAAGGAATCTTTTTTATTGGGATACTATTTCAAAATATTATGTTGTAATTTATGTTTGTAAAGCAATCTTCAGGAGGGTTAATAATCAATACTGTTTTATTTCTATAGTGAATATATTTGCATACAGTTTGTCTATACAGCTAAGTGCCCTTATCCACACCTGGGTCTGAGCCCCACTGTGAATATTATTGTTGGCTTAAAAATCAGGGTAGGCCTTGGATTCTGTTTATACTAAGTAAACCTATCCCATAATGCTGACTGGCATACTCAAGTTTCTTTTCCTTTCTTTCTTTTCTTCTTCTTTATTTTGGTCTGGGTTCTCAAACACTTAAAATTATGGTCTTGCTTTGTTTTCTTGAGGCCTGTGACAGTGAGTGTATTTCAGTCATTGGTCAGAATTCATAGTTTGGGAAAAGCTTTTCTGGTGGAGGGGGTGAAGGGAAGGGAGTGAGTCACCTGACAGCCTCCAAGCCAGGATGCTCACAGCTGGGTGCACTGCAGTCTCTGAGCACAAACTGCATTTCCTCCCTGACCATCTCTGACTGCCACTAGCTGTATGTAGGACTGACTGCCCTACTTCACATTTAAACTTTGTCCTTCCTTTTCTTTTCCCTTTCTTTTGCAGAACTTCACATGTGAGAATACATTCCAGCAGCAGGATGAGAGGATTTTCCTACAGCACAGAAGTTCTTGGAGCTCCACTGGATTTGCAAATGTACCAAGAAGGGCACGTCTTGTTGTGCCTGTTTTTGAACTTTCAAATCTTATGTCTCAAAATGCTGGTTGCTGGTGGATGGGGTCTTTTGCAGGTAGATGTGACTCAGGAAAGGGGAAATGAGCAAGGGAGGAGAGAGACACAAGGAGTTCCACACACTGGGGAAAGGTCCCCACTGTGTTTTGTATTTGTGTTTTAAATTTTGGGAGTGACTCATAGGCATTTAGCAAAAGTAATTGATTAAATTAACCTTATCAGTACTGAGGTTTCCTGGCCTCTCTCATCAGATACTTGGCTCACAGGCTGGTGGGTATTTAATTGGTGACTGGTGAAGAGTGTGGGTGAGTCCCACCTTCACAAGTGTGACAGTTCACCATCCTTGCTCTATCACATCCAGACGTTATTAAAATCAAGACATGGTCCCCTGACTTGTTTGTTTTCCTTGGGCATACAAAACAGATGCTCGGGACTCACTTCACTAGACACAGTAAATCAGGGTCAGCTGTGAAGAGTCAAGTGCACACTTTGCCTGTTCTGCAAGGATAAATTTTGTAGCAAATGGGCTGCCTGGATTTGAAAATGATAGGTGATATTCTCAATATAACATTCTTCAAATGCCTTGTTAGAGTTCAAGGGTTATGAAACCAGACTCTTGAGCAGTGAGTGGGCTGGGAAAAAATAGAGACAGAGTGCCTAAATAAGGCTCTGAAGGGAATCAGCAGAAGCAGGTGATGGAAGCGATGAACGCTCTCGTTTACCATGAATGAATTCTAGGATCATCTTCCAAGAGGGCGATACTAGCCAACAGGGAGTTTATGTCTCATCCTTTATCCTAAAACTGAAAATTATTTTGGAATAGGAAAGAAAGGGTAAGGTTAGAAAAAATCCTCCCACCCACACCCCTCTGAATTAGGAGTTCTATTAATCAGTATAGATTACCAAATAATGAGGTTTCAGCATGTGTAATTTGTGGCAATTGGGTTATCAAAAGGCATCCTTATCTGCATCTCCATTGTCCCTTTGAACAATTTATTCAGTGGGGGCTCTCCAACAATGAAAAGCATTGCCCTGCTTTCCGCAAACACTTTGCAAAATGTAACTGCTGTCAATAAAATTTTTGACAAATGGAAAGCATTCTAATACATCATTCACCCACACACATGCACACACTCAGCACTGTAGGATCAGGGCCCCACGTTTAAAAAAAAATCATCTTTTAGGCTAAAGTTGACGTTCTTCAATATTATCCTTGGGTGCATCCTGGACAGTACTGCATAGAAATAACTTAAAATAAATGACTTACCTCACTTGCATTTTGATGGTGTCATGTTGAGGATAAGAAAAACTTCTTTCATGCTGCAACTTTTGGGCTACTTGTTATGACAAATTTATAACTTTGGTATAGCTTTTCCAGTTCAGTGAGTTTAAGTGGTAAGGTCCTACAGTTTTTGTAACAGAGGACCTGCACCTTGCCAGGGGAAGGAGATTTGGCATATCCCTATTAGTCAACCCAGTGAAGAAAAAAAAAAAAAAATTCAGTCCTCTGAATTCTAGAACCACAATCACATTTTAGATCTAGAGATTTTCTTCTGTCTCTTTTGAATCTAAACGAAGAGAATCATAACAATTTTAAAGTCTTTATATAGAGCATAAGCTGTTTTTATAAATGTGAAATAACTCATTGAGGATATAAGTAATGTTAAGGAGGCATCCTGAGAAAACCTTGCTTTTGATGTAATTTAGTCAAATGGATTATTTTCTTCCCTCTGGCTCCCTCAACCCCCAGCACATTTTTGTCAAAATGAGTTTCCATATGTTTCATCTAAATGAGTCACATTCACAGAAATCATTCAAATTATCTATGAATACTTTTCTTTCATTTGTGGCTTGGAGGTGGGTGGTTATAAGTAGTGGAAGGGATGATGGGCTGTTCTCCAAACCCCAAATCCTTTGGCTTGCTCTGATTCTCTGAGTGCTCTGCATCTCCAACTTTATTCTATACCGGAGGGAAATAGCCATAGTAAATTGCAAAGATTATTCAATTTCAGTCCACTTTAAGTGCCCTTAAAGAGAGACTGCACTCATGACTTCTCAGGGGATAGGCGATGCATCTTGCCACAGACAAAGTGCTGGGTGAGAGGTTTTAAATCACATTTGTAGCTTGGGAGACGAATACTGGAAGCAGTTCTCTTCCTAAAAAGTAGTCATCTGTGTCACTGACTGTACAGACCACAAGTTGGGGGTGACCAGAGCTAACTTGCTTAAAGAATTGTGGAACCATTTAAAAGGACATAAACACCTTACCCAGGTTAATGAAGACTGTCATTGCATTTCATGCCTTGAACTTGATGGATGCAATTGATCTGTCTACCTATGCCATCTTTTATTTGGTTAATCTTAAATGTACACAAATCTAAATCCAAATTAGGCAATTCTTGGGGGCTGGGTCTGTAGCTTAGTGGTAAAGCACTAGCCTAGCATGCAAGGGGCAATCTTAATCTCAGCACCATAACCAAAACAAAACAAAAATGACTACGACAAAAATGAGGCAGTGCATTTCATCTGTGCTGGAAATGAGATCTCTTCTGCTGACTGAGTTAATATTCTATTTGATTTTCACCCTTGCAATCAAAGTCTATGAGTAAACACTTATGGAGCCTTTGCATCCCAGTGACCTAGATATGGAAGGTTTATTTTTTTATTTTTCCCCTGTTTGACTGATGTTTTCACATGAATGGGTGTGTTGTAGATTGTTTTGTGGATTTCATTGCTACTTGATTTTAATAATCTCTATGTGCTGTTGGAAAAGACTCCCTCAACCCATTTCCACACATTCTTATTGGGCACTAATGCTGTGCCTGATGATGGGATAATAAGCTGGCCAGACTGTCTGGAATCTTGAACAACTGTGAGGCTCTCAGAGAGACCACCCACAGCTCCATCTCATTGATGTTTGGTTCTGTCCAAAGACAGAGAGGAAGAGGAAAGGAAGGAACAAAGGGAGAAAGGAAGGTTGATTTAATAAATTTCAGATCATTTCAAGCTGAAATTCTGTCTGTGATAGGAACATAATAGAGGTGGAGGAAAATGTCTTTCTCCTTTGCATCTATTGACATCAGTCTTTTGGGTGCATCCTATGTTGTGGGTGGTGTGATCCACCCAGCCTCAGGTCTTTAAATGATCCTCAACTGGGTGAGTCTGAAGTCCTTCTGTGCAGATGAGGTGACTCCTTTTCTACCCTGGCTGTTCCCTTTTTGCTTGAACAACCATTTACTTTAGTTTGAGTGGGACTCTGTGTATCATTCTTCTTGCTCACTCATTTCCTTTGCTGGCTGTGCTGGATTCCCAGAGCACCCAACCAGCTAGCCCCTGTAAGTTGGATTTTTTTCATGGGCCCAGGTGTGGGCAAGCTGATCACGATCTACATAAACAACAGAGTTGGGAAGTAGGTTGGGGTCAAGGAGTCTTGTTGGGTAAAATATATATTTAGTATTTAGATCCTATGCATTTTTCAGGTATCTTTGAAATAACTTACAATTTAAAAATAAGCAATTAGACTCATTTAACAAGGATTAAAAAGTTAAAGCTCATGTCAAGTATAAAATGATAAACTTAGGCTAATAATAGCTTTTATAGTTTAACACTAATTTTAGTAGTAGGTTCCCAAGCAATCAAAATTTTAAACTATAGGGAGGGATTTAACTTTGATACCTAAAAGAATACATATGAGTTCACCTGGAGGTGAGCTCTCTGCTTAGCTTACTAACTCTTAATTGAAACTTGGTGCATGGGTCCTGTATATAGGCAAGGATTAACTAATGAACACTTTTAGTGGTGATATTTTTTTAAGTTGTAGAAATGTTCTTCATGTGTCTGCTTCTCATAGTGTGAAAAGGAGCTGGCTGGTTTCTACAGGAGAATTAAAATACTTTTTAGCTTTTGGGTTTTACTTCATCTGAGCTGCATCTTAGCCATGCCAGAAACGTGGACATGCATCTTCTGGCAGGAAGCAGGATTGATCATTGGCCCACTATCTTTGGCTGGGGTGCTTTATATCCCAGACTCTTGGAGGATTCGCCAGGTGCTTTTCCTTCAAGGGCATGTTGCCATGGTTCTGTGGTTCCCTGGCTCAGTCTTCTTTTGGGATTCTTGAAATTCTTCTCTTGGCTCACTCACAGAGATACTTGGAATAAGGGCTGGTAGCCCTGTTAGTGCTTAGGCTAATGTTTGGGAAGACCCCAGCTTTGCTAAATATCTTCTGAATAATTCTGTTAAGAGCATTGTCCTGTTTTGTGATATGTATTAATGCTGTGCTCTGGTGCTCTGGTCTCTTGAGGGATGAGAAGCAAGCTTTTGGAAAGACCCCTGGAATTAGGCACCATTTCATTTCAGCAGTCGATGCCGCAACTAATTTTAGTAATCTTTAGTGTTTGACAAAATTGCTCCTCTTCATTAATATTTAGAGTATTTTATTTCTAAAACTCTGCCTAGTGCAATGACATCACAAATGAGTAATACTGTATAACCTAACTTCAAAGATGACAAATAATTTGATGAAAGCAGCAAATTAAGTCTGGCTCAAGGCCATCCATATAGCAGGCATAGAACCCAGATGTCAAATGTCAAATATCATTTAAGACTAGCAGAACACTAAAGCAAAAGAACAGTTTACCTGGATAGGTGATACTCTTCCAACCAACAGAGAACACATGAAGGAAATGATATCAGGGATAAAGACACATGAAAAACATTTAATAACCTTCAGAACATATGGAAATTAATGATATTCAGAGCTTGCAGAGTACCAAGATTTTTCAGCTTAAAATAATCTTCCTGCTGATGCGCAGTTACTGGAGGGCTCCCAAAATGCCACAGAGAAAATTAAATGCAAGGAAAGAAAGGGAAAAAAAGAAAGAAAGAAAAGCTCTGAGATTCTGGGCATGGGGTGGAATATTCGTGAAGAATTGAGAAGACAGTGGGTATGTGCCCCTCGGTTTGCTCTTTAACCAGCCTAGCTGGCCTTGGACAAGACTCTTGTTCATATTTCCTTTATTTGTAAGGAGGACTTTTACTAATGTCACTTTGTTAATTTTTAAGGTACTCTGCATCTTTAAACCTGTATAGTCTAAGCATTTGACAAAGGCCCAGTAGCCAGAATGACTTCCATCAGAAGAATTTGTACTGATGTGGGTAGGGTTTCATCCCAGACCACCCAGTGTTAGAAATTTAATAAAGACTCTTGGAGAAGGAGGCCTGCTCAACTTACAAGCCTAACAACCACTGTATCACACTGCCTCAGGAACTGAGTAAGACATGAGGCAAAGATGAGTGAAGAAAACAGTTAATCCACTGGAAGCTGAGATTTGACCATATTACCCCATTCATTATCACCTCTTCTGCTTGAAATGGGAGTTAAATTGGGTAAAAG